CTCAACTAAGACCTAAGATGGGGAGAGGTAATCTTTAGCCTCTTGTATGTATATACTTGTGACATAGTTAACGATATGCATGTTGAAGTATTTCAGGGCAAGTTTGCTAATGTTTGCAACTTTGAAACGCATCAAAAACGAAGACTGATTAAAGGATGGAGGGATTGATAGATTTGTTTTCAAATAACGAGAATAAAACATGAGTAAAAATATTTTCAACTGTTGGTCTGAAAATTTTTATAATAAAATATAGAAAAAAATTCATTTTTTTAAATGCAAAAATTCTATAATAGTTGAGTGTGGTGGTGCACACTTGTATTCCCAGCTACTCTGGAGGCTGGGAGGGTGGGAGGATTGCTGGAGGCCAGGAGTTTGAGGCCAGCCTGGGGAACACAGAAAGTTCCCCATCTCTCTAAAAAAAAATTAAAAATTGTGGTCTGAGAAACTAAAATAGATACCCCTTTATCAGGTAAGATGGACCTTAAGGTTAAGGAAACAAAAGTCAGCTACCTGTTGAGGGTTTAGGGCACAGCTGGCATGGCAATTTTCTAAATTCGTACAAGAAAAACACTTACGGTAAGGTGCCATGGTTTATGCCTACAATCCCAACACTTTGGAAGGCCAAGGCTAGAGCATCACTTGAGACCCAGGAGTCCAAGAACAGCCTGGACAACAGTTAGACCCCATCTCTTGATAAAAAAGAAAACAGAAACATTAGCCAGTCATGGTGGCATGTGCTTGTAGTCCTGGCTACTCGGGAGGATGAGGTGGGATAATCACTTGAGCCTAGGAGTTCCAAGTTGCAGTGAGCTATGCTTGTGCCACTGCACTCCAGCCTGAGTGAAAGAGTGAGACCCTGCCTCAAAACACACACATACACACACACACACACACACACACAAATTTTTTTAGTGAGAATGGAGACAACTGTAACTTTTAGCTTACCACTAATAACTAAGAGCTCTACATCAACCTGATTTTACTGTTTGTTCCAGGAAATTCTTGCCCACAAAGTTAGGCTATAGATCAATCCATACCTTCATTGTGAGCTTTAGGAACGTCCCATTTATCTGGTCTATAATTTGCTCATCTAGCTGCAAAGCTTCCTTCTCAGGCACTGAGGAGTTGATCACTCAATTGGGCAAATTGCCTTCCTTGTCAAAAAAGGGGCAAAATCTAACTCCAATTTCTTTACCTTGTTGGGTGTACTGTCTTAAACTACTCTACCATGAACTATATCCAAATCCCCATATTGAAAAGACCATCTTAAACCACTCTAACTAGACTACAGAACCCTACAAAAGTCACCCTCTGGAAGGCCAAGGCTGGCAGATTGCTTGAGCCCAGGAGTTCGAGACCAGCCTGAGCAATACGATGAAACCCTGTCTATAGAAAAAATAAAAAAAATTATCCAGGCATGGTGACACATACCTGCAGTACCAGCTACTCTGGAGGCCGAGGCAGGAGGATTGCTTGATCCTGGGAGGTCAAGGCTACAGTGGGCTGTGATTGTGGCACTGCACTCCAGCCTGAGTGACAGTGAGACCCTGTCTCATAAAATAAAAATAAAAATCACCTTTGCCATTCCCTCTGAGAAACTACCAAGATTATGTCAAAGCAATGTCCTTTTTTTTTGAGACTGAGTCTCGCTCTATTGCCCAGGCTGGAGTGCAGTGGCATGATCTCACTGCAACCTCCACCTCCTGTGTTCAAGCGATTCTCATGCCTCAGCTTCCTGAGTAGCTATTACTACAGGCGTGAGCCACCATGCCTGGCTAATTTTTTTTTTATTTTTTCTCTAGACAGGGTTTCATCATATTGCTCAGGCTGGTCACGAACTGGACCTCAGGTGATCCACCCTCCTCAGCCTCCCAAAGTGCTGGGATTACAGGTGTGGGCCGTGTCTGGCCACAATGTTCTTTTTTTTTTGTTGGGGGCGGGGAAGGAGTCTTGCTCTGTCACCAGGCCAGAGTACAGTGGTGCAATCTCGGCTCACTGCAACCTCCAACTCCCAGGTTCAAGCCATTCTCCTGCCTCAGCCTCCCAAGTAGCTGGGATCATAGGCATGCGCCACCAAGCCCAGCTAATTTTTGTATTTTTAGTAGACATGGGGTTTCACCGTGTTGGCCAGGCTGGTCTCAAACTCTTGACCTCGTGATCCACCTGCCTCAGCCTCCCAGAATACTGGGATTACAGGCATGAGCCACCGTGCCTGGCCAATGTTCTTTTTTAATGCAGTAAGAGACTCAAACTTGCTTAGTGACAGGTTATTCTGGTGGTCTTTGGTGGGGAGAGTTGGCAGTTGCAGTCAAGAGAGTTCACAAACAACAAAGTTTGGGAAATGCTGGCTTCCCATATGTTAAGACAAAGCAAATCTGGGATGGTTAGGAACCTCCTTTTATAGTCCAGACAGAGATTAAATGGCACCATCAACAGATTAAACTAGGTAATATGGAAGGCCAGGGAGGAAAAACAAAATAAAGGAGGCAGTTGGTTAAGAACTGAACTTCCTTTCTTGTCCTCCTCCTTATGCATGGTGAACACAAGATACAGACAACTATGGGAGCTTCTGAACTAGTGGATATAGTTACTTTATGGTATGTCATGCTGTAATTTATATTATCTTACCCTTATTGATCTTTAGATTGTGCCCAAATATTTTGCATCTTTACTTGGAGGATAAAGTACTTAGCCTATATATAAGGGACGCCTCTGCAGCCCTAGCAACAATCTACCTCTAAAAACCTTCATTCCGCTTTATTTTTAGAGACAGGGTCTCACTGTATCGCCCAGGCTGGAGTGCACTGGCATGACCTTAGCTCACTGCAGCTTGACCTCCTGCGCTCAAGCGATTCTCCCACCTCAGCCTCTTGAGTAGCTGGGACCACAGGCTACTGTGGTCCATGCGCAGCTTTTTTTTTTTTTTTTTTGACGGAGTTTCGCTCTTGTTACCCAGGCTGGAGTGCAATGGCGCGATCTCGGCTCACCGCAACCTCCGCCTCCTGGGTTCAGGCAATTCTCCTGCCTCAGCCTCCTGAGTAGCTGGGATTACAGGCATGCACCACCATGCCCAGCTAATTTTTTGTATTTTTAGTAGACACATTTTTAGTAGAGACGGGGTTTCACCATGTTGACCAGGATGGTCTCGATCTCTTGACCTCGTGATCCACCCACCTCGGCCTCCCAAAGTGCTGGGATTACAGACTTGAGCCACCGCGCCCGGCCTCTTATTTTTTTTTTTTGAGACGAGTTTAGCTATGTTGCCCAGGTGGGTCTCGAACTCCTGAGCTCAGGCAGTCTCCCTCCTTGGCCTCCCAAAGTGCTGAGAATACAGGAGTGAGCCACTGTGCCCGGCTTCAAGCTCTAAACTACAGCAATATTTTAATTGCTGGTAGTTCCTTTGCACTCAGTTTCCTAAACTTGAAATCCCACTCTTCCTCGGGCATCCTTGTCCACATTCGTAACGTTTCAACACAATTTAGGCTGATTTCCTTCTGGAAAGCCTTCTCCAAGCCTTCCAGGTATGGTTCTGCAACACCCTATGTATTTCTCTAACAGCATTCAGGCACTGCATTGCATTTGTTTGTTTTCAGGGGTATCTTTCTCATGCAGTTTTTTTTCTTCTCTATAGAACCACAAAGTCTAATATGCTGTTTCTTTTTTCTTTTTTTTTGAAACTGAGTCTTGTTCTGTCACCCAGGCTGGAGGGCAGTGGCCGGAACTCAGCTCACTGCAACCTCTGCATCCTGGGTTCAAGCAATTATTCTGCCTCCGCCTCCCGAGTAGCTGGGTAGCTGGGTAGCTGGGTTTACAGGCGCCTGCCACCGCACCTGGCTAATTTTTGTATTTTTAGTGGAGACGGGGTTTCACCATCTTGGCTAGGCTGGTCTCAAACTCCTGACCTCTTGATCCACCCACTTCGGCCTCCCAAAGTATTAAGATTACAGGCGTGAGTCACCGCACCCAGCCTAAGCTGAGTTTCTTGAGGATAAATTCAATAACTTGTATACATCTGAATCTCTAAGAGTTGTACAGTACCAGGTAAACTGTGGAGCTCAATAAAAGTCAGATGAACTAAACTGAAGAGTGAGGTGGGAGGATAGATGGACAGGTCAGGAAAAAGAATTTTTTTTCTCCCAAAGTGTTGGGATTACAGGTGTCAACCACTGCACCAGGCCAGGAGATAATTTTTTTTTTTTTTTTTTTTTTTTTATAGTTTGAGACTGAGTCTTGTTCTGTGGTCCAGGCTAGAGTGCAGCTGCGCAAACTCGGCTCACTGCAACCTCCGCCTCCCGGGCTCAAGTAATTCTCCTGCTTCAGCCTCTTGAGTAGCTGGGATTACAGGTGCCCGCCACCAAGGCCGGCTAATTTTTGTATTTTTAGTACAGACGGGGTTTCACCAAATTGGTCAGACTGGTCTCAAACTCTGACCTCTTGAAGTGCCTGCCTTGGCCTCCCAAAGTGCTGAGATTACAGGTGTGAGCCACCGTGCCTGGCCAGGAAAGATGACTTCTAAGTATGAAATGTAGGTTGGGAGGACCTCAGTAGCTTGGGAGAAGTGCACAGTGGTGAGTTATAGGATGGCAATGAGGTCACAGAATTATGAGGTCAAGGTTAACAACGCGTGCTGGCAAAACTGACAAGGGACGGAGCAAGGAGTAGGACTTGGCATTAGGACATGCGTGTTGGGGGGTAGGTAGTTGGAGCCGGGCCCCACTTTCGAGTTGTCTTAACGCAGGAATCAAAGACCGTGGAGGGGCCAGGAACCGTTAGGGAGATAAGAAAGGTGCTATAGCTCACATTCACACTTACGGCCACAAGGCCACGGGAACAGGCTGTCTCCTCACAGCATCAGCTTTCCCTTTGGCTTCATTTCCCTCTGGAGAGCTCTTTCTCACGGACGCTGCAGAAACCGAAGGGGCAGCCCCTGCCCTGCTACCCTCCAGGGAGCCACCATTCTAGATCCCACGCTCCTCTGGACATCATGTGATCTGAGGGACGACTTGCCTTTCTTCTGAAACACGGCTACAGAGTTAAAAACACAAGCCCCATGAATAACAACGCAGCCGTGGGACGCCGCTTTCTCTCAGCCTCCCCGCCGCAGGAAAAGATCCACTTCCTCCCCGGAAAACGCGACCGGAAGGGGTGGGCTTTCCATCTGGACCAGGCGCGTCTGCCACCATGGCTTTACGCGGGGTTGTTGGCATTTTCTTCCTCTCTGCTGTCCCCCTTGTGTGTCTGGAGCTCCGGCGTGGGATCCCAGATATAGGTAAGTGTTGGCTTTTTCCCTTCGACAGTCACAGCTGGTCATTTTCACAGGAATGTTGCATAGAATGACCGCCTCTCCGGCTGCGTCGCTTCGGAGGGGCTTTGACTACAACTCCCAGACTGCATCGCCCGTGCCTCCCACTTCCGGTGCTGACTCCACTTCGCGGAACCATTTCCCTACAGGTGTGATGGTTTTGCGTGTAACGGGACAGAGACGAAGAGCATAACGGCAGTCATAACAGTACTTTCACATCCTGGTTAACACTCAAAAGGGAATTAACAGACTGATAGGATGAAGGCCTTCTAAGAATTTAGGCTGAGAGGTTTTTTGTTTTGTTTTTAAGTTAGAGACAGGATTTCACTATGTTGCCAAGGCTGGCCCCGAACTCCTTGATTCAAGAGATCCTCCTGCCTCGGTCTCTCAAAGTGCTGGGATTACAAGGCTGCGCCACTCCGCCAGGCCTTGAGATGTAAATAAGGGGCCACACCTGTGAAAATCCCTTGGAGGCAGGGAAAGGATAGGGGAGGGGAGTATTCTAGGCAAAAAGATTGTGAGATGTTGGAGGAAAAGGAGAAGGCCTTTATGGCTGAATCGAGGAGAGTTGGGGGGAGGAAGAGGAATTGGCTCAGGATAATGACGTTTATTGAACACCTATTGTAAGCCAAACAGTAGGTACTGGTTATTCAATATCTCATTTAATCTACACTACAATCAGAGGAAGGTAAATCCCCCTTGCCCCCGGCCCCCCCCCCCCCCACGGAGTCTCCCTCTGTTGCCCAGGCAGGAGTGCAGTGGCGAGATGTTGGCTCACTCTGTCTCCCGGCTTCAAGCAATTCTCTGCCTCAGACTCTCGAGTAACTGGGATTACAGACGCCAGCCACCACACCTGGTTAATTTTTGTATTTTTAGTAGAGATGGGGTTTCACCACCTTGGCCAGGCTGATCTTGAACTCCTGACCTCGTGATCCACCCATCTTGGCCTCCCAGAGTGCTGGGATTACAAGCCGGAGGTATTGCTCCCGGCTGGGTAGGCACTGTTATAATCCCCATTTTACAGTTGAGAGAATTGAAATTTAGGGAGGTTAAGTGACTTCCCTAAGGTTTCTAAAAGGTGGCTCCATTCTGTATGGAGAATGCTTTGGACGGAAGCTATGGTGGAAGCAGTGAGGCACATCAAGCTTTGGAAGTAGACAAGTAGTGATGATGGCCTGGACTAGGACAGTAACAGAGGAGTTGAAATGTAGACAGATTTGGGATATTGACAAAGTAGGATCAACCAACAGGCTTTGTTGATGGGTTGATGTTTGTGGCAAGGGAAAGGAAGGATTCAAGGACGACTGCCTCATGAGGGATTGAACAAACGTAGGTGGTTGGTAATGCTACTGGTAAAGGGAAAAGGGAAAGAAAACCGGTGGAGGTGCTGAGAATCATGAGTTGATTTTTGGACATTTGAGTGATCAGCTTACATGTCTGTCTCCCTTTTTAAAATCAGTTCTAAAGTTAGACACCATAATGAAACTTAACTTTGTACACTCCCTTTCTCCACCTTTCCTCCCTACCCCCAGGGAGTAAGATGTCTAGAAATGTTGCCTGCAATAAAAAATGGAAAAAAATGCTTTAAAAAATGTACAAAGACTTTCCTAAAGCTTTCCACTCACTCAAGCTGTGTTAGAAGATAGCAAGACCTTTATCCAAAGGATCAGAAATGTTGAATTCATACTTACCATTTCCAAAATTGACCTGTTCCCTTGTCTTTTCAACATCCACCCCTACTCTGCTCCTTTATTTCATTATTACTATTTTTTGAGACAGGGTCTTGCTCAGTCACCCAGGCTGCAGTGCAGTGGCATGGTCATGGCTTACTGAAGCTGGACTTCCCATCTCAAGCTATCCTCCCACCCCAGCCTTCCGAGTAGCTAGGACTACAGGCACCACACCACCGTGCCTAGCTAATTTTTTTGTATTTTTTGCAGAGATGGGGTTTTGCCATGTTGCCCAGGCTGGTATAAAATTACTAGGCTCAAGCAATTCCCTCACCTCAGCCTCCCAAAGTGCTGGGATTACAGGCATGAGCCACCATGCCCCTTCAGAAATACGCTTCTTGAGGGCAGAGGCCAAATGAAATTTGTATTTGTATTCCCAGCACTTACCACAGTGTCTAGTTTAATAGAACTAGGGACAAGGGTTCTGGAAATTGCAACTGGGCTCCTGGCAGCGTCTTTATCTAGTTCTTGAAATTTTCATGGAATTAGCTTCTTTCTCATAGAATTCTGAAGGAATGATTGTTTCATTTGGATTGTTTTCCTTTTTTTTTTTAGTTCTTTTCTTTATATGTATATATACATATATACATATTCTGGTTTTGGATTGATACTTCCAATAATTACTTGTTAACAGTATTTAAGTCTGTTTTACAAATCATACTTTGTAGCAGCAGCAGGGCTGGTTATGCCTCTACTAATATTCAGACATATATTGGAAAACTAGCCTTGTGTCTTTCTACTGTGTAAAAACCTTTATTGTTAATACATTTTACTTATACTTAAGCTAAATTTTTTTTTTGGAGACAGAGTCTGTCACTCTGTCACACAGGCTGGAGTGCAGTGGTGCAATCTTGGCACACTGCAACTTCCACTTCCTGGGTTCAAGTGATTCTCCTGCATCAGCCTCCTGAGTAACTGGGACTACAGGCACTTACCACCATGCCTGGGTAATTTTTTTGTATTTTTAGTAGAGATGGGGTTTCACTATGTTGACCAGGATGGTATCGCTCTCCTGATCTCGTGATCTGCCTGCCTCAGCCTCTCAAAGTGTTAGAATTACAGGCGTGAGCCACCATGCCCAGCCTAAATATTTTAAGGCCAGTTCATTAGGTTTGTTACCTACTGAAGTACACTGCTTGGTCTATAGTTAAAAAACAAAACTCACTTAAAAACTTTTTTTCTTGACAGATATACACACAAATCAAGGTGAGTTTTTTTTGAGACAGTTTCGCTCTTGTTGCCCAGGCTGGAGTGCAATGGCGGGATCGCAGCTCATTGCAACTTCTGCCTCCCGGATTCAAGCGATTCTCCTGTCTCAGCCTCCCGAGTAGCTGGGATTCCAGGCATGTGCCACCACACCTGGCTAATTTTGTATTTTTAGTAGAGATGGGGTCTCTCCATGTTGGTCAGGTTGGTCTTGAACTCCTGACCTCAGGTAATCCAACCGCCCCAGCCTCCCAAAGTGCTGAAATTACAGGTGTGAGCCCTTGCACCCGGCCAAATCTACTTTCATATTCTCATGTGATGTTTGCAAATTGCTTACTTGTTAGAACAAACAGCAGTAGTATGGAACATAAATCCCACAACTCAAGGTTTTGTTGTGCAGTGGTGCAATCTTGGCTCACTGCAACCTCTGCCTCCAAGGTTCAAGCCATTTTTGTGCTTCAGCCTCCCGAGCAGCTGGGATTACTGGTGTATACCACTATGCCTGGCTAATGTTTGTATAGCTGGGGTTTCACTATGTTGCCCAGGCTGTTTATGAACTCCTGAGTTCATGCGATCCACCAGCCTCGGCCTCCCAAAGTGCTGGGATTACAGGCATGAGCCACTGCACCTGGCCTCAGTGGTTTCTTTACATACCAGTACTCTAGATATGAAACTACATTTGTAATGGCCAGAGATAAAATAGATTAAATTATGTGTTGTATTGAATGACACCTGAATCAATGGTTAATACTGTCAATTTGGGGGATCTGTGAATTTTTTTTTTTTAATCATGTTTCTTCTCTAAACAACTTTAAATTACTAGGGTTTTTAAAAGAATAATATTAGGCCATACATGGTGGCTTATGCCTGTAATTCCAGCACTTTGGGAGGCCAAGGAGGAGGGATCACTTGGAAAAAAAAAAAAAAAGAAGAATATTTTCTGGTGGCACACATCTGTGGTCCCAGCTACTTGGAAGGCTGACATGGGAGGACTGCTTGAGCCCAGGAGGTCGTGGCTGCAGTGAGCTGTGATCAGATGCTGCACTTCACCTGGGCCAAGTCAGTGAGATTCTATCTCAGAAAAAAAAAAAAAAAAAAAAAAAAAA